TATAAGCGTCCCGTTTACGAGCCGTGTCGTAAAGTAAATGCGCTTTATTCATTTCCCGGTAGATACCCCCCAGCGGCTCTGGGCACGCGGCCCAGTATATCAGGCCTCTAGCGCCTTTTAGCACTCCATATTCTACGTAATAGCTATAAATATTTTTATTCGCACAATTTCGCCGGGAGCACGCTCCGCTCGAGAAAATAGCGCGGCGACGCTATACGTAGATCGTGATAAATTCCAAGCCGTATCTCGAGCTCTCTCACGGTCACGCGTTATCGTCGCGCTATCCCATTGTCTTTATCGTCGAGAAATTATCGTTCAAAATTGCTCGCTCGACGCATCGATCGTATTCGAGATTCGGCGAGAGGCGGCAAGTGTCACGTTATCGTATCGACGTATACGAGCGACGAGCGAAACCGCGTCGCTGGACTGAATCTTGCGAGAATTGCGTAATCGAAGTACGCGCGCGAAGGGACAGTCGCGGCCCGGCCTGCCGCTGCTGGCCGCTAATTAACGCGCCGTCGTACCACGATAATTAGAATTCAGGATCCGGATGCGTCGAATGCTCACGGGGGGCCTACCGTTGCAACGTAGCCACGCGCCACGCGGGGAATGTCGAAGGGTGCGGATATCCGTTGGAAAGGGAGCGGCTTCGTTGGCTCGCTGGGAATTGGATTCGGGAAATGAAACGCCCGGACTCCGGCCGCGGCGCGGCGGGACGCTACACCTTCGTACACACTCGTTTCGTTGTAATTTGCATGGCGCTTTTTATGTCGACCGCACGATAAAGTTTACAGTTCGCGTTTTAAGCGCGCGCGCACACACACACACACACACACGGAAGGCTTCGCGTCGTTCCGACAGCGGCCCCTTCTCTGCCGTACTCATTCTTATTGTTGTTTCATTTAAGCTGCGTGTTCATGCAATAACAACAGTCTCTACCGCGAGACAATCACGTTATACGCACTGTCGAGTTTACAGTGTTTGTCCGATGTTGTAGTGTTGCAATAACGATCCTTCGAACGATTATTTCGAAAATCAAAGTTCGTCATAAACTAAATGCAGTAACGTAAAATCCGTCACGGAGAAAATAAAAGCGGAGATACACGCCAATCACGAGATAGTTGTCTGGTCGCGAATTCAGAGGACTTTTCTTTCGAAAATAATGTCGGTGTAAATTTAATTTCATCGATGTCGGTCTACGAAATGCCTGTTGTGACGTCTCATAATAATTAATTTACTTCTGTTAAACAGGCGCAACGTATGGTGTTTCTTTTCTGACTTATATTTTGTTCTAGTTTCCACTAAAATGTTTACTCATAGAGATGATACGAGAATATAACAATTATTGTTTTATGATATTTACGCTTCGTGATTCTCGCGAAGCGGTAACATAACTTTTACTATATGATAGTCTCGTCAATTTAAGACGAAAGATTGGCCGATATAGAAATAAAAAAAAAACATAAATATAAATTGATGAACATTTGGAGTGATAGCAACGATATATAACTGAGCAATAATCAGAAACAAAATTGTAATGTTTTAAAAAATTATATATTTTTCAAGAATCACATTATAGTAAAAGAAAGTCCGTGATGTGTAACATTTTATAAATAATTATTCAAAATTTTGCGGTGGTGTATGTTTGCTACGAAGTTATCTGCCTACTTGTATACAATCCACGTAAAGTATAACAATATAAGAAAATTGCGGGGCTTAATTATTAGAGTATTTGAGGTAATATATGCTGCTATGCGCTCGATGTCGTGCTATTTTTACCGATTGCGCTGGTCTTTCGACCATAACGGCCGAGCATAATATCCGGCAGTTCCGGACATTGACCAATTCCCAGCCGGCTGTGCTCTCTGGTATTCCGCTGCGGCTACTCGCATCGAAATCAACTGTTAGCTTGGCTGTCGGCCAGTCTGATCGTCTGTCGACGATGCAACTTCGTTCAGCGTTACTTTTTGCGCCGTTCTCTTCGTATCCTGCGTTGCGATCCTGGCGTGTTGTAATTAGCGGATCACCCGCATGGAGCGGAACGAGAAACGCTCGGTTAAATCACCGATAAAGTATCAGCTCGCTCTCCTCGCTCTCATAACGGACGATCGCGAGATGGAACCGTCAGCAGGCGCGATAGTGTCGTACGTAAGAGTTTATCATGAACCGTGAGTTTCTAGAAAATTATGCCGAGTCGTTTTCTCGCTTGCAAAATGCAGCACGTTATGAGACTATAGCAATCGGAAAGTTTATACTCGTGTGCACCGTGAAACTTATTCGCGAAAAACTCTGAAAATCGTCGAACGATTCGAAATAGTTTCATCGAATATTAGAATGAATAAATTATAAAGAAAACAAAGTTGTCGTTGTAACACAGCAAACACCTCACTAGTCTGGCAAATTTGTAGCCATAATTAACGGACAGTCAGTTGTCAGACGTGAAATGAGACAGCGAAATTTTTTTTGTCGACCAACCTTCATTAGCTAACCATCGATTTCCAACACTATCACGACTAAATGTATAACTAGCGTTCTTCGCCAATTTTGCCCAATTACGCTCTTTTCGTGTATCCGACGAAAGTAGTGGCGGGCGGGCACGATAACGGAATCGAAAGTAAATGGAGTATTCCGCGAGTTCTCGATGCCATTTATTGTCTTCATCCGCCCTTTTGTGGTCGCTACATCGCGCGGGAAAAAAGCTGGCGCTGATCCTAGGGAGAGGATCCGGGGAGAGGAGGCCGCCAGCTAATTTTTCAACGGCCCGCGCCACAGCAATCGCGATAATCCCGAATGAAAAAGTGACGGCCGAGCCGCTCGGAACGGCCGATCGATGGTGTCCTTTATATATTTCACGTCGAGCCCGAGACGCTACTTGTTCTCGCGATATCGCGGACGCACACCTCGCGTTAGGCTTAGGTATTGGCGAGACGCGTAATTTAAATCGCGACTGGGGGAAATCACTGGGACGAATGCTCGTTGTCGCGAGAATATACATGCGCTCATACGCACGCGTGCATGTGCTATCTACATCAGAGCTGAATCTACGTGGAAACTAACGAAGCTTATCGAGCTTATACGTCACATGGTACCAAGGGAGATCCAGCGGAATGATGAACCAATTATCAAGGATCTGTGGTGTACAATTAATCAAGCGCAGTAAATAAAGCAATAATAGCCAAACGTTCCCTTTACGTTTCCACTGGAAATCCACGAAACATCGGTAACTTCAGCTCCCCCGGCAAATCACAATTCGCTTCTGACCCACTCCATTTTTTTACGAATTCATTATTCTCATTTGGAAGATTAACAGTCCTGACGAAAGACGCCACTGAGAGAAAGAGACGGAACGGAAGAGAGAGAGAGAGAGAGAGAGAGAGAGAGAGAGAGAGAGAGAGAGAGAGAGAGAGAGAGAGAGAGAGAGCGGCAAGGAAAAGAATACAGGGGAGCGACCCTGTAAGCGCGAAATTCATAAATTCATGGGATTAAGCCTGTAGAGTATGAAAAATAGCGGTATAAGTGCGGGGCGTACGCATGGGCGCGAATATGGTCGTGGGTGCGCTCCGCTTTATATTGATTCGGGACAAAAAAGGCGCCATAAAAATGTCTACGCGAAAATATCAGTGCGCTTTTATTATTTTCAATTAGACTAATTCGATTTAGATAACAGCTTAATTCCGCTGCTTTTTTAATATTGTCTTTGAGACACTTATGGATATGCTAAATTGGATAAGGATAATGGATGTCAGTGTGTTTTAGCATACACTACATTTGACATCAAGGCGCGCTGGCGGCGTGGAGGCAGGCAATTTTAGTAAACCGTGGAGAACCGTTGGGATTACGCGTTGGGGACTTTCCTTGTTGGCTTTCAGAAAACACTTGTCGTCTACTACCTACTAGAGACGTCTACTATCCTACGATGTGCTTTAAAACTTCGTCCATCTGGAAAATCAGCGTAGTCCCTTCGAGGATTTGCCGTTGCAGCCGTTTCCTGACTTCATAGTAACTGCTTTGCAGATATTGCGAGTTTAAAAACTCAAAGTTATGAGTCTGAGAAGTTCGCGGACCGACTTTCATAACACTGGAAACCATGACTTCACCAAAATGGTCTTGTTTATTTTTGCGAAAAACTGCACTTTGGGATTCTGATCAATTTGCGAATCAGTCAGGAGTATCAGCATCAACAACATAATAAAATGACAACATCAACACAACATTTAACGTTGAGGACACACGAACAAGTTATACGAACTCATTCATTTCGCAAATAAACTTACAACTGATACCAATAAATGTAATAAAAAAAGAAAACAATAAAAATACATGCATAATTGGAAGGAAATCATATTTGGAAGGAGCGATATCGAGTGAGAAACTCTTACAACTACGTGATGTTTGATAGTTAAAAGCGAGGGTGACAGGTGCTTCGGTAAGAAATCACGTTGCTATACTGATCAACGGAGGGTGACGTGATTGCAACCGAGAAAAAGTTTTGCAGCAATTTCGCACGTTCTGAATTGAAAAGCTGACGTAAGCCTGACTTCCGCCGTGAGGGGCCATTAAATTCGAAAACGCGAAGAAGCTACTGTCGCCTGTCCATAGAGACAAAATTTTCAAAAACACCTGTCGAACTGTCTTTTATCCCCTCACTGTGCACTTTAAAACTCAGCGGAAAATAATAAATTGATTCCGCAAATCTATAACTGACTAGTTATACAGAAAGAAAAATATATAACAATTGGAATTATAATGGCATGATAAAATAATTGTAGTTAAAATAGTATATTTATGGTGAGCATAATTAAATTAATGATTCTGAATCAATTTGCTATATCTCATTCACACAAAGATACATGCATGCATAGGTTCACACACACACACACACACACACATATAGAATGAGTTTGATAAGAAATCCATCATATTTTTCTCTAAAATTCTGAGGATTTCAGCTAAGAAAAGTTATATGTTTCAATATGAAGATATCTGATAACGTTACTCACTTGACACCTCTTCTCATTCTTCTTTTTTTACTCCTGTGTCTATATGTCTGCAGTCTCCTTATATGAAAAGAAATTGATTTCTCTCTTGGCTCGTGCAATTTGACTTGAATGCCTTTGCTTATAAACTGCATGTTCATATGCAAATATTTACTCAAAGTCCATTTTAACCTGTATAAAAAAGAAATATATGTTAGCTGCAAATAAATTTTAATTATATAAATACTAAATAATATATTTCACACTCACTTATGTAAATATCTTATATTTCATATAATATCGTAGACCTTTTGTTTTTTTTTTCTTGTAGATATGTATTATTTAGTATTGTTGCTACAAATGTAGGTATCTTCTTAGTCTCATATTCCATTCAATTCATAATAAAGGATTTGATTGCCTTTTTCTGTTTCTTATGCTTAACTGATTATGATTTTAAAGAATGATCTTAATGCAATACATAAAAAATAACATACAATTTGCAATAATTGGGTTAAAGTAACCCTTATTGTGTGATCATTTCTTGTGTGATTATTAGCTATAAGTATACTCTATCCACTTTATTATATTCCGAAAATATTTCCCGAATCATTGTAATGTTCATATATCTCGGAATTATGTGGACAAATATATTATTCCTCTCTTAACTTTTTTCCCAAGGTCTACCACTTTGTCGTGTCAATATATACTTTTTCTCGGACTGCATGCTTTCATTCTCCATGTCATAATTGGAGTTCTCACTGTTATCGTCAATCTTCGTTTCCTCATGATCATTTTCGTATTAAAAGATTAAGTGTTTTTCTTTACAATGTGCACGTGCGTCAGGAGTTCTTCGTAAAAGAATAGACTACACTTCATTACATCCGAGTGTAACACCCTCGCACTGCGTGTAGCTAAGAATGATTTCGTCCTAATGTTGGCTGCTTTCGTATGCAGTACGATATACGTGGTATAGATGACAGTACATGTTGCACTTGGTCCGAGTGTGACTAATGCGCTTAGAACAAATAACGATATCAAAATAATCGCGTTGAGAAGTTCAAAGGAGGATACAAACACACAATGAAGATCTCGAGGATTCAATTTGTTGACAACGTTGAAAGATTTGCGCTTCTGTCTTGAGAATATCGTTAACATTCCCGATATCAGAACCATCCCGAGTATTTCGCGTAAACTCGGATTCGAAAAAAGCGCCTGTTTGGCAAGAAACGGATCGCTGTGATTGGTCGGCTTGAATATCTCAAGCAGCCAATCATACAGTCGTGCCGCGGGCTGCGGAATAGTGCTGCGTGCAAAAAACCGTTGCCGCGGGATTTTCCGCGATTTTGGCTGACCGTAGCTGAGCCTCGCGTCTCAATCGTCGTTACCGGGAGTGCCGAAGGTGAGTTACGTGCGCGTGTTGCCGCGGAGTGTCGTTAAATAGCTGCGGGAAGTGAATATCGTGGAGTGAGCGAATCGTCGAAATATCGAGCAAAGTTTTGCGCGTTCGCCCCGTAACGACCGTTCGGGTGCGCACGGCTGAGTTCCACGTTTCCGACACACTGCGCGAATCTCGCACGCGAAATACGTCGAATCGTTAAACATCGAGATATGGCGTAACATCCCTCAATATTCGCCGCAAGTAGCCGTTATTCATCAGGAATGCTGAGTCAAGTTTCGTGAGCTTTCTTTTCCATCATGGCGGATTTCTTAAAACGGTCGGTTCGGGTGGAATATTGTGATTGGTGCGTACGCGAATGGTATATGTTCAGCGAGCTATATAATGTGAAAAATTACCACCGTCGCGCTAGTAGTGTAGCGGATGCACGCTCAATGTGCGTGAGTTCCGGAAATAGCTCGCGCTTCTTTTCCGTGAGTCCGAATTGCCAAAAATGAGTTTCACGCGTGTATTCGTCGGAAGTACCGAAGGTAGATTTCACGTGTTGGTCACGGCAAAGTATCGTTAAGCAGTCATAGAAAGCGAATGTCTCGCGAAATTGTATCGTCGGGAATGCCGAGTAAAGTTCCATGAGTGTGTCGCGTAATCGCAGTACAAGTCGCTGCTCTACGTTTTCGACTCTCCGAAGGAGAGAGTCTCGAATAAGTGTTAAAATGCTTGCGCTTGTGCGATGCTCCGTGTTGTGTTTGCGCAAAGTTGCGCTAAAAGTGTGTTGCAAAGAAATAGCGTTAAGTGCCTTTGGATATATTTCATCAGGATACTCATTGGATATATCTCATCAGAAGGAACTTCAGGAGCTGTGCAAACGTGAGTGTATTTTACGTTTGTTTTATATTGTAGCGATTTATTCGCTTCTCAACTGACCTTCACACATAAGTCTCTCTGCAGTTCTCACTATTGAAGCGTTCACCTCCCACTTCCTCGATTCCTAGAACTCGAAACGCGTCGATTCTTAGAACTGCCGTGTTTACGATATCGAGCTTTGTTCCGCGAATCACATGTTGCTTCTTGAGTATGGTCAGTGCTTCGTGTTCGTTTATACGATGCGATAGCAAATTTCTCTTACTTTATACAAATTTATAATTTTGATCTTGATTACGTAAAAAGCATTGAGCATTTTTAATGCGTTTTTAAGTTACTCAATCTTATGAATAACCTTATTTTATCTTTAATATTTTAAGCAGAATTATACAATTTTTTAACATAAGTTGCAATGGAATTTTGTACGAGGTTTCTCTTACAAATCTTTCTCCGTCTCTCGCTGGGTCTCTAGAGATATTTCTCTAGGTATCAAATTTAATTTAAAAAATTTTAGCGTTTAGCGAATTTCAGCGTTTCCGAAATTATTACATTGAATTTAAACCGATTTCACGTGTTTTCCCGAGGTAGAATATTCATGAGAACCCGTTGTTTCCATCTACATTATGCTTTAAAGCTCCGTCGGAAGCTACCGGACGTAAAAAGAAAATAAAGTCTCGTCGTTCATTTAATTTCTAGTGCATTCCGGTTCGAGCGCACTTTTATTTTCAATTCTCCAGATAATTAATGTCGAAAGTTAAGAGGTTTCTAACTAAAAGCGCGAGCTCCCATTGAATTTACGTTCGTCACGATGGATTGGATTCGCCGCATGCTCCCGCGTATTCGTCTTCCAGCCAGACTCGAGCTTCGCGATAGAGACTTTATAGGATCCGCGGGAGTTACCTTCGCTATATCTCAAGGCTTCTTCCCGAAGCGGCGGAACTTTTTTCCGCAAACTGGATGATGCACATGCCGGGATGATAACGCCGGATGGAGTGGCTTCTCACAACGCGAATCCTTCCGGAGAAGTATTTGATTTTCCTCGGCGTGAGCAACGAGGCTACGAGCGGAGGAGGATGTTTCCCTCCGTATCGGAGGCACCTCCACCTCGCTCGTTCCAACCGTGCGAGAACGTTATAAAGTATATTGTGAGAGATCGTAAGTTAAGTTGTCCCGGGGAACCTTTGAGAACTCGGAGCGACCCGACGCTAGAGTTGATCGTCTTAACTTTGCTGCGACTGATCGTCTCATTCTCGGCGGGAGCTAAAGAGCCTCTGCCTCGATTCACTATGAAACGCTCGTAATGACGGGAATTTGGATGTTGGAAGCAATTTCACTTCTAGACGCTCTAATGACCACTTGCGAGCGAGATCGCGGTAGTTGAGCACTTTAATCGCGCATTGTTCTATGCTTAAAGAACGCGCTTAGTCACATATCGATAAATTCTTGTCGCACTGCCGCTAATGGCTTTGGACGAAGTGTCTGTGAAGTTGGCACGACGTTTTGCGAATTGATAAAAAATAAATATTGTCACTTTTTTTCATTCTTCTACTGTCCTTCAAGAAACGAAAAAATGTTCCGCATGTATAATGAACCAAGAAACCGAAAATTAAGATGTGTCATGCTGACGTTTCGCGTTACAGCACGACACATCTTAAGTCCGCCTCATGTTTCTGAGAATCTTGGTTATTTCGGAGCTTTTAAAACCTTATCACTCATATTTCGTTAATTAATATTTCATGACGTGTCATTTTCGGGCCTGTCACTTTTGGAATCTTTCGAGTCCTCTATCGCTGAAACGCGTGATGGCAACTTGATACGGTTTGTTCGGATTATTCTGATTTCAAATCTAGATGAGTGTCTTATTGCAAATATTTTTGCAGCTAACGCGCTCGCTGTTTGTATGTTTGTTACGATTTTGCTAAGCTCTCTTCCTTCTTTCTTCATTCCTTCCGTCCTCCTCTTAGCGGAAGATAAATTTGTCGCGTCGATATTTTCGAAGAATTTATACGATAATTCTTATAATTTTCCTTACACTTTAAGATTCAAAGCATCTGGATATTATTGATATGAAATCGAATGTCACATCGAATTCCATGATATCAAAGAATATCCATTCCAAAGTTTTGTTTGGGTCGAAGATATGTCAAAATATCAATATTTCGGTTAGTTCGATAAAAACACTACTGTTGAAATTAAGGTAACGACAAATGCGCTTGAGTGATAATCGCAGAGAGAGAGAGAGAGAGAGAGAGAGAGAGAGAGAGAGAGAGGGAGAGGGAGAGAAAGAGAGAGCAAGTAATATCTCATCGGTGGTATCGTCGTTTCAATATTAATAATTTGTCGTGCGGTAGCGGCGAGCTTTGCTACGGGAGCACAAAAGATATTTTACAAGCTGATACATCCCCTCGCGACCGCCCGGTGCATTACGCGGTTTTGCGGCTCCGTGTGTACTCGTAAGCCCTATGATCAGTATCCGCATCCCCGTGATATACGTCCAATAGCCGTCTTTCGAGAGAGATCATCCTTACTACCGTGTATATAAGTCAGTGTGCAGCCGGCCGCCATGAAATCGCGCTCGTAATATTTCTCCGGCGCAGCGCTTTTACGGTTCTTGCGGGACACCGAAAGGAACGAAGGGACGGAGGGTAAGGTAGTGCAGGGCTATAATAAAGCGGCGGCGACGGCGGCGGCGGGGCGGCCGCCGGTGGTCCTCCCCTTTCTCATGTCTCCCGCCCTTTCTTGCTTTCTTTCGCCTGTGCCTGTAGCGCTCTTTCGACCTCGCCGAGATAGAGCGAGCACCCGGTGGTAACGTACCGCCATGGCGGCCGCAATGAGACCGAGATAGAAATTGATGACACTCATAATTTACGAGAAATCGTGATTTTTTTGAAGAAACGGCAAGAATATCCGTCGTCCTTTTCCCTCCCCCCTGCCTCACCACCGGTCTCGTCTCTACTTCGTCCTTTCTCTCGTCCTACTCCTGCCTCTTTACCGCGAACAAGCATGAGCGAACGTAAAGACGACAAAAAGGGGAAGAAGAAGAGGAAGAAGGAGAAGAGAGGTCGTCGGAAGAGGAAAAGGTAGCGAATGGATAGATAACCGGCCGCGGGGTTGGTTAGGGAGGGGGAGGAAGGTGAATAAAATCCCGATAAATTTGCATTACATCATAAATCCAATGCGCGGCCGCCACATATTCCGTTTTGGATCCTCGACGCTATTTTCCGCAGGATCGTTTCCGCGAACGTTCCACTACCAAGGGGAACGGGAGTAAAATGCCGTCGATGAAGGAGGCACCGCGCACAGAGATCTCTTTACACCCTCGAATACGTGCTCGAAAGAGAGAGAGAGAGAGAGAGAGAGAGAGAGAGAGAGAGAGAGAGAGAGAGAGAGAGAGAGAGAGAGAGAGAGAGAGAGAAAATGTGTATATGTGCACGCGCGTATATAATATGAACCGGGAAAAATCAAATGATGGTTCGTTTATGTAATTCTCAGGAATACGCGTCGTTCTTCTCTCATTGTTAGAGCTTGCATGGACGGCGACAAGCGACAAAGCACAAACGTGTGCAACGTATACGTGCACACTATACGCGTCCTATGTATATACACTCTTTATCGTGCAGATAATAATGTTAATAACACAGCATTTTTTTAATAATGCAGTTAATAACACTAATTACGGTACTACGTAAAGTAATTATTTCTATTACATAAAAAGTAGACATTACATAAAGATATAACGCTGTTATCATCATTATCGTCATTTTATCGTTGCTATTATTATAATCTCACAGTTTTTTCCTTCTTGTCGCCAAATAAGTACATAAACTTGCAAATAGAAAAAATAGTTTATATAGTAGATTACGGGTTAAATCATTGCGATTTGACCCAATCTTAATCAGAAGCAAACTAAAATCGATATTAATTAATTTGTCGAATTTTAATCCGCAATCCGCAATTCCTCATTTTCAATGCACAAATTGATCGATGAGGCTTTAAGATTATCGAGTGTAAATAACAGCAGCAAGTCAGTAGTCGCACAGGACGACAGTGCATTCGCGTGAATAAATACCTGCGGTAGGACATCCGATTTCTGCGCGACAGATAGGTGGTGGCTCGCAATCACAGTACGCGTAATATCGTCGTTGACAATTTAAATGAGCGGAGATTGTCGGAAATAGAGAAGGAAAGGGGAAGGGGGAAAGAGGAAGGAACAGCAAGAGGTACACACATATCGCATCGCAGTCACCGTGTAGCCCTTGTCATCTTCCGCGCCTCGTAATCGTCCCCGCCGTTAACTGTCGTTAATTAAAGAAGTCTCCCGGAGGTTGCGCTCCGCTGCCGTTTAATTACGAAAAGGATTCATTAGCGAAGAGGCAGTCACCTAACGAGGACAAAACAGCGGCGACGGAATCTGACGAAGCAGTCTGGCACTTTCTGGTTGCAACCGTCGCCGTCGTGCCGGAGCGTGCACGAATGTGGCGCGGCGGTGACGTCGAAGGAGGGAGAGACTGTATACGTCTCAGCCCTCCTCTCTCGGTAGATTACAGTTTAGAAACAACAAGAAAAGCACGTCTCTGAATCTTCCTCCTTCCATCCTTTCTTTCTTCTTTGCTCTACCCACTTCCGTTCCTTGCTACGTTTTTCCATCGTCTGAACACTGTACACCTGTTTGTGTTTTCAAGTTCGAGATAGTAAAAGTCGTAGATGAAGACGAAAACAGACCTACACTTTGCTACAGCATTGTCGCGAACAAGGGGAAGCAGGATAGTTTGGCAAGCATGAGTGTAAAATTTCAAGACACAAACATCGACATACGATATTTGAATGAAGGGTTGTCGAACGAGGGTAATGTCTAATTAGCGATAAGGGATAGGTTACACCACGTCGAGTAATTCTCTCTCTCTCTCTCTCTCTCTCTCTCTTTCTCTCTCTCTCTCTCTCTCTCTCTCTCTCTCTCTCTCTCTCTCTCTCTGTCGTAGCTTATTCGGATATATTTGGCTTTATGT